GTCGATATTTGCACGTTAGGGTTGAGGATAGGACTCACACCACCAACAGCAGCACCAACACCAAGCAGCAGCTGTATCGAAGACAAGCCACAACAGGAGGACAATGGCGTCCATGGCCAAGGCAACACAGGAATGAAGGATCCGGAGCAGCACCCACACACAGCTACAATAGCAGTCAACATCAGCAGGAACAGCACCGATGTCTGGTAGAGAGAAGAAGAGAGAAGAAGAGAGAAGAGAGATGAGCGCATCACGACAACAAGCAACAACATCAACAATTCACAATGGAGCCGACCCACTCTTCAGCCTCTCCAGTGCATCTGGGACAATCCTTTCTGCTGGTTGAAGTTGATGTCTTAGTGAGATTTATTTAGCTATATAAAAAACTAGAGTGTGCCTGGCCGACTTTCCTCCGTGTTATTTGTTAGTAATAGAATCCAAGCCTCTCTGAACCCAATGTGAGTTTCAAGCTGCCAATCTTCGGTACAACAATCAGCTGAATTCGCGAAGAAGCAAGAAAGACTCTAAACCGAAACCTCCAAACCGCAATTGCTACAGTTTCACGCACGTGGTAGCGCGATTTTCCACGCTAGACGACGTGCGGAACATGGTGGTGAACAAGCTAAAGGCGAATCCTATATCGTCGGATCCCGACTTTGTCTTGAAAGCAGAGAATATTCAGGTATTTCAGAAGGCGCATGGAGGAAATCTGCTTGATCGTTACGATGACGGATCTCTTGTACGTCTAGTCGACGGATATACGTACTATGCCATGGAGGTCTTTGAAACTGTGCCCACTGATTTGTACCGAACAGTTGGCTTGAAGCAACTGCAGCCGTCTGTTTTCTGCCTGCCAGAGAAGCGCAGTTTTACGGAGGTTTCGCCGTTGGTGACCGCAGCAATGAAAATCGACCGCGGGGAGTTCGAGTATCCTTGGCATTGTTGGGAATTGTATGACGACGTTTTTGATCCTTCAAAGCAGCCAAGAATCAATGGAATCTCCGTGTTTGCCAAGGATACAAAAACTGAGTTCTGCGAAGACGAAACCCTACCAATCAACGACGAGAAATGGGACCCATTTGTCACTATGAAGGAAGGGAAGGGTAACTACAAAATCCCTCTGGAGAAATACAAGGACCTCGTTGTCCACCGTGAGGGCAAGGAGCGCCGACATTCACGATATGGAGTCCTTATCACCGACGTCTCTCACGAAGAGGACTCTATTGCAAAGAAAAGCCTCAAGAAGAAAGAAGGGGGGAAAACGAAGATGCAGCAGACGCTGTATTTTTCCTTCGTCCTTGAGAAAGGCACTGATCTGAGGGCTCTCGGCATGGCACTCGTATACGACAACTTAGGTGAAGACCACTGCTCTCTGGTCCGGACAACCGAGAATCCCACCAAACCGCAGCGGGGCCAAACTCCGCTAATTACTTTCCAAGACGAAATCGACTACACGAGCAAAGGAACAACGCTTACGCCCGACAACCGGAATCTCCAGCCAGTGAGGCTTCACGTAGAAATTGGCGGTTGTGATTACTATGCTTTCCCATATGTTGCTGCGCATTTTCGGCTTCACAGCATTGTACTGAAAGCTGCCGCTGAACCCATTCCGCTCGACCACTTTGAAGATGACCAAACCGAAACCATTTTCAAAGCTGCATCGCTCTTGTTCTCTGCTGAAATCGAAGAACTTTACGATGTCATTCAAATGCTGGAGCGTGTGGGCTACGCGGTGGACAATCTGCCTAGTTCTTCTCGAAAGCTGTTGCTCGCGGCCATCGACACACTCGATACTGAACAGATGACGCGTGAAGAGCGTGAGGCGCTTTCTGACGCATCAGACATGCTTAGCAGGCCCAAGGTGGGCAGCTCAATGGTGACTGAAGCAGTAGAAGAGTTGGAGAAGCTCCACATCAGCAGCACGAAGACTCACCCGCTAGAAACTCCATCCCACCGAAAGCAATCTTCGGAAACCAACAAGGTACCACATTCATTGGGCACTCCGGAAGCGAGTCCCCAGCAGAATCCACAGGTGCCATCACCGTCAACCTCCGAAGACAGCGCGCAGGGAAGCAAATAAACTGCCGCAACGCATGAGTCGACAGTCGTATCTGAGGGTGGCAGCGCCTCAATGGCGCGCCCCACAGACCTTCTCCGAAGCATGACCTCTTCGGCTGAGGATGCTGATACCAACTTGGAAGCTGCTCTGGAAGCCAATCGCAAAGCTAAAGCGAAACGAGCTGCATGCCCCTTGTAATCATGAAGCCATTGTGGGTTGGATTGAGAGAAGGAAAACAAGCTACCTGGTAGCTACTAGAAGCAGAAGGGAACTGAGAAGGAGCTGGACCTCCACCAATCGCACTCTCGAGAACACCAACCTTTCAGCACCTTCATTGAGATTGAATGATGAATCATTGAATTGGTCTAGCTAGTATCGTCGTCCAGGATTCCTCGTGAATTCGCTATACTTCTAAAGGGATAAAAAGTCCACTCTCCAATAAGTGGTAGTGCCTGCTATCAGGCCTCGATAGCACGGGAGAGGAGCCCCGCCCGCAAAAAAATCTCGAATGAGCGATGTACAGCTTTGTCAATCAATCATCTGCATCTCTCGCTGTATTCAGTGCGAAATCCAAAGATGCAAGCAATCGTTCCAAGGGATAAGTTGGTGGCCCAGGATGTGGGAAGTTGGGCCTGGACTGAGAGTTCACCAGCCAGCAGGACTTACGTACAGTACCAGCAAGGATTTGCACCTCCATGGCACATGAAAAACTCTCCATCAGGAGTATCAAGAGAGGTATCTTTGTAGCAAGGGTTGTTATAAACAAGAAGTACAGCGTTCGTTTAACGAGGAGACTTACATGATCCAGCTGTTGTTGTCAACTTATCTTTGTTGGTACAGTTGCTACCGACACGTCGATAGAAGCTAGAAGCAAGCAAGACAAGAATACTGGAATGATTCGAATGATTCAATCAGGTATCAGTACAGCGTCGTAGTCCTCGAGAAGGATAATCAGTTGTGTGCAACAAACCAATGGAAAAGTGGCGGCCAAGCTGAGGACACAATCTTGGACGGTGTTCATATGCGTGCTTGATTCGGGTAGTGGTTGGCTTCTCAAGAGCCATTGGTGTTTTTGTTGGTGCTGCGGGACCAAGAAACTCAGTGGCAAGCCAACTTTGTCTGCGGGGCCAGATCTATAACCACTACTGCACTTGATAGTCTCGATTTCGCATCTCTCCAGTTATTCCGGGGTTGGTTTTGTTTGTCTATGGGGATGAGCAAACTTGCCCATGGCTCTGTGTTGAATTTGTTAGAGCGTTTTTGCAAAAAATTGTTTGCGCCAAGCCAATCTTTCACTTTGGCTGTTTTTCTCTATTGGATTTGATTTGATTGCATTGGATTAGATTGGATTGCATTGAATTACAGTCTACTATATAAATAACAGTACTATTTGGAATCCAATTCAATTCAATGCAATCCAATCCAATCCAATCCAATGCAATCCAATTAAATTTATCTTCCTGCAAAAATACAAATTTCGTCTTTCTAACTGATTTTGGCGAGTCACACTCCATTACAATACAGGGCTATTGCAAGATTTGCCCATCCCCTATTAGCTGGCTAGCTAGCCAGCAGTAGGTGCCTGTGGCTATCGGTACCGTCGCGGGAGTGTGGGTTCGATTCGATTCATCATTCGATTCCCATTTTGGAGTTGGCGCAGGAACAGGCAGGTGCGGTCATGGTTTCATACGGGAACCCAGCCCCCATCCCAGCGCTTCGGGCTCACTTGCTCATTGTTACGACTGTCACTGGGAGACTTTGTGCTTGATGGAACTCATGCCCTCGGCATAGGCAAAAGAGCGGTGAAGTTGGGCTTTTGTCATGGGGATAGTTGCCGAGGACGTGAAGGATCGATCACGTTTTTTTTTCCAATCAAGGTCGTGGATAAGGCTGGAAACCTGGATGCGTCGTCCAGCAGGTGGGCAAAAAAGCAACTTGTGTCCCCATACATTACGAGGAACGATCTTCCGATGAACCCAGTTTGCATGGCATGCCAGCTTCAGTCGGCGGTTGAGGTCTTGTTGATGACAATGGCTGCCTGGCTTGTAGTGGCAAATAGATTTCCATGCTGATTGAGTCAAGTTGACGACCCTTTAATAAGTTATTCATTGACGGCAGCAAATCTTCTATTATGTTAAGGCTGACTGTTCGTTTCATGCTCGCTCCGATTGCTTGCTCGGCTCGTCCTGGGTTGCTTGAATTGCTTCATGAATCAATCCTCTACTAGCTGGCTGTCTAGACTTCGTTGCTTCGTTGACACCGAGCAAAGAGCGAGATGCAAGAACCAGGTGCAGGAACCAGGTGAAGATGGGTCCTGCCTGGTTGCAGCGGTGAAGAAGCAAAGTTTTATTGTAGCAGATAATAAGTAAATGGTACTGTAGGAGAAGTCTGGCCTGGGAAAGGAGCAAAGCGAAGAACCAACGAGAGGATTGACCACTACAGACGCGGGGCACAACAGCAACGGAGGCGAGCAGGATCCGTGCACTGGCTAGCAAAAGGAGACTGGACCCTGCACAACTTTGAGAAACAGTCTTGATGGCATTTCAATGACTGCTTCTTCCTCGTCAGATACCATCAACAGTGCGTGTTGCCAACCTTCTGAACGAATGAGTCGGCGCTGGTGAAAGCAGGAGCTTGAGCAAGAAGGACCTGGCTGGCAAGCAACGAGACTGTAGGTTAATGTAGCCACGTAGAGAGGTGGAGGTCATCAACCCGAAAGCCCGAAAGAGCCGAGAAAGCTTGCTCAGATACCTGTAGTACCAGCCCTGGTACCCGTACGGGAGATTTCGAATGATTGAGAAGGCCTTTTCACGCGAGGATACAGGTTACAAGTTGCAGGGGGGTGGAGAAATCCAGAGACTTTCAAGGCCTTCCAATTAAAAAGTGATGAAGACAGTGATACATCGTAGACAGAGTTTGACAGGGGTAAACAGTAGTACTGTCCAACACTGAAATAGTTGTAAACGCAGTAGATAAAAGTGGTAGGCAGTGGTAAAAGGTAAAAGTGATCGCTGTTTCTGGAAACAGTGGTTTGCTCCATGACGCGAAAGCAGTGTTGAGCAGGGGATGACATTGATTTTCTCCAGCCCCCAGTCATGAAATCATTGCAAAAGGAGCTGCAAAAGGTACCAGGTACCGGTACCGGTACCGATGCCTGCGCTATCGCCACTTTTAATACGCAATCACGCAAACAGAACGCTGATCCCTGATCTTAGCTGATCCTTCATGCACTCTCTCACAATTACTTAAAAGCAGAACCCCCTTTGAGCCACACCAAGACACTGTTTGCTTCTATGCAGGGACTACTTATGGACTGAAGAGCCTTGCTTCAGCAGCGCTTCACAAAAAGAAATTAAGATTGATCTTGTGAATTCCTGGGTACCACAAAGACCTCATCAATAAGTAAGTAAATGTATTGATGCTTTAATGAAAGATACCACTGATTATTCTTTTCGAGCGAATGATGCATCATTAGTTATCAGTCGAATCTGAATCGTTCACGCGCAGCTTTGTCAAAGTAAGTGTTTGTAAACTTTACAGCCTCTTCCTACCTAGTACGGTACCCCCGTTCTTTATGTACCGTAGATGAACTGCAGTGCTGCAGTGAAGAAGACAAGAGCCCCACAGCTGGCCCACACATCATGGCATCATGGTGTCTCTGCAATTGAGACTAATTAACGGGCATCTTGGTGTGTTTGAGGCTGCATCCACTTTAGTGTAGCCTGTAGCCTTGTTTCCTCGTTGGCGGCCGTTGCTTTGGTACCGGTACCATACCGTATAGCCGTACAGCAACAAAGCCCTCCCTTTTGATGTGCCCATCCTCAATCTTGAGAGCGTCGCTACATGTGCCACCAATCAATCTAACTTGTAAGCTCACAAAATTCGGCTTCCATTCAGCATCGCAGCCTTGGCAACGTTCACATCCAAGTTCGACTCCAACCAACCTCGCACAATAAACAAAGAACTACAGTAACAACAACAACAACAAAAATCATGGTGCTTAAATACCTTCAACGAAGACGTCAAAAGGGAGGCCAATTCTTGGCGTTTGACAAAGGCGTGGATCCCTCCACAAAAAAAGTGCAATGGACCAAGGCCGATCCCATGGACATTGTCCAACAACAGATGGAAAAGGAACGTGATGCCACGGATACCACAGCTCAAATGTCCTCAGCGTTCCTACTGCAGGACGAACATGATGATATCGAGAGCGTTGATGGCAGTGGCGACCACGACGACGACGACGACGACCACTGCGAACACGACGAAAGCGAATCCTTTGCCTTTACATTTGAAGACGCAGTGGAGTCTAGTGCGGGTAGTTGTGTAGATCCACCAGAACCAACCCTCAAGCAATCGTCCGAACGAAGACCGACATGGCTCAAACGCCCCATGTTTAGCGACATTTGCAGCAACCACGCTCTAGTCAACGCCGAGAGACAATGGGCCGACGCAAGTTTGCACACACTGAAACGAAGTCATGAACTCGATGAACTGGCGCGATGGCACGCCGAGTCAATGGCCAAAGATGCCTGCACATACCACGCAGATCCCAATGTGCTGTGCTCCAAGCTTGCCCATCTTCCACAGGTTCGCCTGGGAGAAAATGTTGCCAAGGGCAAGTCCGTGCGTGTCCTCCACAGCACAATGAAGAAACATGCTGCCAACTATGCCAACATGATGGATTCCCGTTTTACAGAACTAGGAATGGCAACGGCTCGGTGTGCCAATGGAGATTGGTACCTCTGTCAAATCTTCCGAGGGTAAATGAGCTACTTTTTCTTGGTTTCTGTTGGACAGTGCCAAGGGGAAAAGACGCGTCAACACAACCGTAGCTATCAATAACTGTACCAATGAAATCACAATTTTTGGCAATCAATTGCTTCCATATCGATATTTCTCGTCTGTTGCGAGGCACTCTCTCTACAGATGCACGGTACCGATACTACTAGCTAGACAAACAAAGAGTTCTGCATGTGATGGTTGGGCTACACTGTGCTACCACCATTCCCAGCGAAAGCAAGCACCACGGGGCAATCTTCTAGCTCTTGCCTAGCTAGCCAGAGAGTTAGGCTGAATTGTCGCTTTCGGTCCAATAGCCGGAAAAAGTTGACACTCCAAGACTTTCGTAATCAATGCATTGCCATGCACCGTTTGTCGTATTTGGCGAAGACCCACACGTGCTCGTGGTTCGGGTCCCGCCTGCGTGTGGTGGGCAAGTCTTTGACCACATGTCACACGACATCAAGATACCGCACCTCGAACGTTGCCAACGAAAGCTTTGAGTTACTCCAAGATGCGATAGCTACAGTACCACCGGTACGTACGGTACAGTGGAGCGGGGCGTTGGATGGCCATTGCTTGCTTATGCATTTTTTAACTAGGAAACTTGTTGTATCTATTGTGCCTGAAATGATTGTGGCTCCTGCCTGCACAAGGCTGTAGCGCCCCGAGCTTTTCTTGTCGGGACCAGTACGAGGGGCATTCTTTGCTTCTTTTGCTTCACCCACCAGTGCGCATTCTTCCTTGCACTTACTTGTCCGAAAAGCAAAGTGTCGCGATTGTCTGTCCTTTCATGTGGGAAGAGGTGGGGACTCTGTAATCCCAGGTCGCTTCCCAGGCTGCCTTTTCAAAGGCTTTGCGCAGAGGTGCAAGGATGCACAAAACTTCACTGACAATGGCATCACTGAAGCCCTGTGCCCTGATAGCACCAACCATATGTTCACCGATTACGATGTCGTAATGTCTCTCGTCTAGCCCACGCTCGAATAGACGTTGATGGTGCTTCTTGATTACCAGTTCCAAGTTCGCGCTGTCAGGAACTTTGGTAAAAGCCATTGTGAAGAAACGTTTCTGGTGCAAAGCCAAGACTCGGTAGTCGACTCCCTCGAAGAATACCAGCAATCTCTGGTCGGTACTGACTCGATCGATGAAATCGTTCACAATCTCATTGAGGTGAGCCATTCCTCCCAAACGGATAAGGAGCACAGGTTCTTCAGGTTCCTGTTTGGGTGGTGGCATCTCAGGATGATTCTCAACGCCGTCGTTGCTGCTTCTTCGAAATCGTCCTAAGAGGCCCATGGTGTTGCTTTGTAGTGCTCTTTGCTTAATTGTTGCCTCCAGCTTCGTATTGTGAGAGGAGATCCCTTCGTTGTCAACGAAATCCTGGGGAGAAAGCCCGGCAATCCAAATCGAAAGCACCAAAAGATACTTGACGGAGAACATTCGAGCTTTCCTTCCTTTTATTCCTCGCTCGTACTTGAATCACATATGATACATTCTTGGATGTTCTGGTGGTCTGAAAGAAGCAAGGAGCCTCGGACTCTAGAGGCGGTTGCGCTGTTGGAGGAGGGCTATCTTATCTTTGCATGGTGGTGTACCGTTATTAGCTCCTACTTACTACTTCTAGGTTTTATACTAGCTAGCTAATGGTAGCACTGGCTGGCTGGAGACTCTCCAGCCAGTGCTCAGACTTTCTTGCCTTCTCGGCGGTCTTAAAGACCCCAGAATGCAGACCACCCGGTCTTCTTAGTCTCTGGCACGTGCAAGTTGTGGTCTACGACTTATTACATCACTACGAGTATGCATAGAGCCCCGCCCCGACGTCTTTTTGCGTCAAGAAATCGATTGGCGCTGGATCTACCACTAGCTAGACAGAAGCCACCAAGTAATGATCCAGTTTGGCTGGTTGTTGCTGGTTGAGGCACAGCCCTCTAGCTAGCTAGCCACAACGTTTGCATACGGTATGGATGACCCAACAAGCTCGTCCTTGGCAGGCTAGCTATTAGCACCGACTCAGAGTACCGTACTCTTGAAGAAGAGATGGTCTTTCATAGACGACATCGATGGCAACCATGCTGCTTCTTCACATAATGCGCTAACGCGAACTTCATGGTGCTTTCTTGATCCCCATCGAGTGAATTCGCTTTCTTGCACCTTACCTTCAACCCTTCACATGAGCAGACATAGCGAACCCGCAACTGCGTAAACCAAGAGTTGAAGGCTGCTTGTAGATCAGAGACGATCAGTGATCGAACCGATCCGCCAGAGTGGACGTGCCGAAGTGCCAAACCGCCGATGGAACAGTGAAGAGCAGACCAGACCCTCCGAAAGGGCGGGAGTGATATACCGGTACCGCTGGAGGTGTGATGGCTCTAAAAGTTGAGCACACTCTCGTCTTTTCTTCCGCAGCCAAGGAGCGAAGCATCAAGCACAGCGTGCGCAAAGTCATTGTTCTGCAGTTCATGTCTTGGGTGAAGCAACTGTTGAGCCGGAGCCCTTGGCCGGAGCCCCGTCGCCTGGGCGGGATTTCAAAGAATACCAAAAGCATCAGGGGTAAGGGGAAACGATGTTCTTGTTTTTCGCCTGGGGTGCCTTTGAGGTGCTGAACATTAATTTTGAAGATTTGATGCAGAGGCATTGCGGGGCACATGCCATGATCAGGTCGCTCGTTCAAGTGTTCAAGTGGCCGATTCTGCGAGTTCAATTTGCAGGTACTGGTGCTGTGCTGTATTAGAAGATGCATCAAGCAACGCGGTTTCGTAACACTTCGTTCCAAGCACAGGCCTCAATCTAAGTAAAGCAAAACAAAGTACCAGCATGACACATCTTCCTTTCCCTTCTTTGTTTGAATTGAACCAGCATTCGTTCTCTCAGGGGATCTCGAATGCTCTCTCCACATTTCGCAACCGATGACGGAGTTGCAGCATCTATCCCGTTTCAGAGGAGGCAGCCATGTGGATGAAAGGGTCAAGGGTCTTTCAGCATCATCCAAGTCTTTGCGTTATTTTGCACAAACGGGACGAGCTTCAAGGCAAAGCAACGAAAGAGACAAGGAAAGCTGGTACCATCAACTCTGACATCAACTAACCGGCAACAATGCTGGTACCATCACTTGCATCTCGAAAAACGGGGTTTACTCTCCGAACTCCGAATGGGTCCTATATCCAGCTTCTAGTTTTTCCGTTTACAGGCTTCTGGCTTCTGTAGTTTTTCTCTCGCCACCCAAGCTTCGATGCGTTCTGAGGAATTCGGAGCACGAGTGGGGATGCAACTTTGACCGAGCCGAGAACATTAGATTCTACTCAATTCGGGCCTTGCGGCTTCCACACGGTTGCTATCGCCGCCACAATGAACAATAACCCAAAAAATGGACCACCTCATCAGAGGCTCACGTGGCAGCAAAGAAACTCCTTAGCAAAAAAAGAAACGAAGAATCCAGGTGTCCGCTCCAGGTGTTCGCTCCAGGTGTCCGCTGCAGATAGAGTACATGATGTACGGTATGCGTGTATGCGTACTCTGAAAGTACCAGTACCGATACCGTTAGCACGTTAGCACTACTAGTATTAAGTAGTACCGGTACTAGTAGCACCAGCAGCTAAGCTGCAGCTATCATCTGCTCCGAGTAGAGCAAAACTGCATGTAAGCGACCGAAGCCGACTATTACAGCTCCTTTTACAAGCTTCACTGTCCTCCATAGCTCCATAGTTCTCCCTGCTTTTCTTGGCATACCATCAAAAACTAGAGCATGGCATACTAGCTACATGTAGTACAATGTCATGACATTGTAGTTCGAGCCAGCAGCCAGCAGCAGTAACGCGGCGAGCTGTGCATCCCAGCGGTAAGACTTCCTTTTGCTTTCGGTACGGTACCGGCCGGTACCGGTGAACCAAAAACGACCTGTGTCACCGTGTCACCGTGTCACCTTTCACAACAACGCCTGCACCTTCGTCTTGTTCTCGCTAGCTACGGTAGACCAGCTACAGTAGTACATGTAGCTACATGTAGCTACACCGAGCGAGTACCACACTCGGGAAATCTCCTCTTTTGGTCAGCGCGACTCCCATGCCCATCAACTCGAACGGAAAATCTTTTGTTTGGATGTTTGGTGTTTGGACACTCGGAACATGGCTGCTTGAGGTTCTTTCTTCTTTCGGAAATAAGAGGCATTTGTTGGTGTTCCGAGAGCATCCTTTCCAAGATCCAAATCGGCATTGGAAAAGTTGGCTTTAATCTTGATGTTCTCTTCAACACTTCCGCTTCTGTCTTCCAAAATCACTTCTAGACCAGTTTTTTACAAAAGACTTAGAGAATACATTTCTCAGACGGGGACGAAGAACCACTCCAAACCCCTGTCGATTCCATGTTCCACCTTTAAATTACTGGAGTACGCCTTATTTAAATAATCCATGTTGCGCCAAACTCTGGCAAACCATCAAGATTGTGATCTTTACAGTACAAGTGTACTAGCCGGCTAACGGTAACAAGTACAGCTGTACTTGTAGTAGTAGATGTATTACATGCTACAGCTGAATGGAGCTTCCTTGGCCAAAACCGCATCCAACAGAAGTTGAATAGAAGCGCCTCCGCGTTTGGTGCCACGCATCCGCTAAAATAACTACTCGAGTAGCATGTCTCAAGTCTCAAGCACACGCAACAGCATCCCTTCTGGCTTCTGGCGACCGCTCATCCTCTGCTTTTTAAAAGCTCACAATTTTTCTTCCATCCTGCCAACTAGTCTACCTAAAGTACGAACTCAAAAACAATGCAGACCGCATCCAGCACCGCATCTACTATCCATCGGGAACTCATGAAGAGGCAGACCAGTGTGAACCATTTTTTCTTTGGCAAGAAGGTCCTTGGCGTCTCGTTTGAAAAGCCCACCGAAGACGATGAGGATGTCGCGCAGCAGCCTGAGTGGAAGATGAGTGGAGGGTTGGGTTTTGGGAAAGCCGATGACATGCCCTCGCTGAGCGACTCTTCCACGGCATCGTCGACCAGCAACCGTCGAAGCTCTGCCGTGAGGACCAGCGCACTGCGCCGAAGCAGCTGCACCCGATCCGTCACCAGCCACAGCCAGGCGTTGGACATGGTCGATGCGGATATCTGTTCGGACCATGTCTTGGTGAATGCGGAACGCGAGCGACTAAGCGCTTGCTTGCGACCCTTGAAACGAAGCGAGGACTTGGATGAATTGGCAAGGGAACATGCCGAAGCCATGGCCAAGGAACTCGAAACCTTTCACAGCGAAGCTTCCGATACAGTCTCCAAGCTCAAAGAGACGTCCTTCGAAGTCCTGGGTGAGAACGTTGCCAGGGGTGACTCCATTGAGTACATTCATATGAAGATGGCAAACCGTAAGCCCGATTTTGCCAACATGATGAATTTTAGATTCACAGAGATGGGAATGGGCACCGCCTGTGGGTCGGATGGAAAGATTTACCTCTGCCAATTGTACCGAGGATAAGTAAATACGACGAACGCAAGGGAACGCAGTGGCCGGACAGTGTTGTCGTTGCTTTTTGCACTATTTAGTTAGGACTAACATTAGCTGATACATGATTTTATATGAATATGAATACGCTCGTCTCTTCGTTTCCGTGCTTGACGCTTGTGGTACCCGGTAGTATCGACCAAGGTGTTTCGTGTTGCTTGTCTTGCCATTGCCGGTGACTGTATTGAATTTGATGAAGACCCACCAGATGTGCGGGCATCGCACACCGGTACCATGCTTTTTCACACGATTATAGCAAAATGTGACTGAACCAAGGAAGTTTTCTCCCAATCGCCACAACACGAGCTTGCACTTGTGGCAACTTTTCGGTTGTTTGGCTTTTTCATCTCCCATGGGAATATGAAATGCTCGATTGTGTCAGCAGGCTCCGTAGATTTAGTTGCATGAGTTGATCAGTTTATCCGGCGATTCTCTGGATCGTATCAGTATTTTAAGTTGCTCCCTATCGCATAGGCTGCAGTGTCGTGTCCCGAAGATCTTGACCGTGCCGATTGGGTTGCCTTGACAACGCATGCCTATTTCAATGCTGTTTCTTAGAATGTCTCGATTGAGTCCTCAGTCTTAATGACGATGGAGGTGCGAAATTGCGGAATTCATTAACGAAGTGTCATATGAGTCTGATTTGTGGTTTTTGTAGAGAAGTCGCATAACGTGGTCGAAGTGTTGGTTTTCTCGGGTTTTGGTGTTTTGTTGGGCTGCCCGGACGTATTCCTTGCCCCTGTTTGTGCATTTGATGCTGTATATGACCAGTTTGTGTCTGCAGGGGTTTCCGTATTGGCATTGGCGTTTCTTTTCTTCCCTGGTCTGCAGTTACAGGTTCGGTTTTGGAAGTCGATGGAGATGACGTCTTTGTTGAGTTTCTTGATAGGCCGCTCATGAACATCTCTCTCAGGTTGGTGAATCGATGCTGATCCCTCCGTCTTTTTCTTTCTTGGGCGTTGAATCTATGCATTGTTAATCGTTTTTATTACGTTTATTTAGTGATCAGCTATAGTTATTAGTGGCAAAATGCTTTACAACACAGTCCGATCCTCCCAAGAAGAGAGACACGGTATCTGCACCTTCTTCCTTCTTTGTCTCCGTTGCAGAGTGACCATAAGCCAGACACAAGCCCTTTTCAGTTTTGGGAAAGACTCGTACAGTATGCAATGGGATGGGCGAGCGAATGTCCCAGACCTGGAGCACCACAACAAAGCAACAAAGCAAAGCAATCGGTGAGTAAGCAACCAAAAAGGCACAACAGTAGAGTCGCGTGGATAAACCCCGCGTACCTTGACGGTCCCATCATGACTGGTCGATGCCAAATGATAAGGATTATGGGGTGACCACTGGACGTCTGTAATCCATTGTTTGTGACTGGGTCGGAAGGTCTTGTCGGAAACTGCCAAAGTGTCGCCGTTGTTACTGTTGGTATTGACTCGGACATCCCACAATCGAATATTGCAATCGGGGTGTCCCGTGGCCACAATCCCCTCCGAGAAGTGCGATGTATCCAAGCAGGCCACGACCTTGGACCCATTCAAAGATAGCACGCATTCTTGTCGTTCCATATCCCAAGCCTTGATGCTGTGATCCCAACTTCCGGTAATCAGAGTGTTGGCATTGCTGCTGTTGGTTTTGTGTACATTTCCCCAGGAAATACCACTGATTTGAGAAAAATGCGCTTGCGGAAGCAGTACTTTCGGGGTCAATAGCTTTTGCGAGGCTTCCTTGCTTGTCTTTCCTTCCTTTTTACTCTTTTTGGCGGAGGGAATCGGTTCAGCATCTGCCAAATCCCAGAGCGCCAAATTTCCGTCCCAATCTCCACTTGCCAAAATGGCTTTGTTATCACTACTTTTGAAAGAGAAATCCAGACTTGCCACGGCAGAGGAATATCCTTCGTGCTGACACTGAATTTGTTGCTTGACAAGTTGCTTGGATTGGGTATCGAAGGAATGAATGTAAAGTGTGTGGTCCATGGATCCGGATGCCATTAGAATGGATTGGTTTTTGCTACTGGTGGGATCTAGCATGGTAGCGAGGCATTTAATGGGTCCTCGATGGGCTTCTGGGGCAGATGCAACCTGGTGGAGCACAACTTCTCCTTCTTTTTGTTCGTCATCTGGTTGCTGCATTTTTGGTTGATAGACGGTCAGAGAACCATCGTAGGAAGCAGCGCACAAGAAGCTGTCATTCTGTTTGTTGATTGTCATCTGCGACAAGCAGGAAATCCAATCGGGTTGTGCTTTGCTTTCTTCTTGCAGTTCAGGTGCTTCTTGCGCCGGAAAGTAGAGAATGGCCAACGGTTTTTCCAAACTCAATCCGTAGCGCCGTGCTTCGCGTTCCACAGCCGATCGGAGCAATCGATTGTTGTCCTTCAAAACAAAATCAAAGGGAATTGCAGGTAGTTTTTCCTTGTCGTCATCTTCGTCTTCATCACTATCCTCTTCATTTTCTTCGGTGTCATCCCGAACGACTCTTCGATCCAACAGGTGATTGATGACAGCAGCCAGTCCCTTGCGGCCCACAGAGGCAGGCACGGCAATGGGATCCGAAGGAACCTCCATGGAGCGATCCGCCACCTCGGATGCCAATTTGAAGGTTACCCGAATCTGTTCGCCTTCATCGCTGGAAGCTTCATCGTTGTTGTCGTCACTCATGGTCCCTCAATAGCTAATTGGAAAATAAGTTTAATGTAGTCAAGACTTTGTAGGCTACCTGTAGCCATCTCTGGCTGGAGACAAAGACGTTGGTTGCTTCTGATTTCACGGAAATTCGCCTTCCAAAAACGACGAAGGCTTTGGTTGGTGTTTGACGAAGGCTCATAACCTCAACGACCTCATTTTATCCACGTCTGAATGTCTTGCAGCTTGCAGCAATTAAAAGTGGTACCGGTACACGCAGCATCGGCTCCCACGCCACTGTCTCCTCCTACATTGACGACACCAACACATTCATCCTCCCCCCCGACATCATCCCCTTCCTTACCACCTTCCAGACCGAAGGTAAAGAACTCGGCCTACAGTTGAATTACTCCAAGACCAAGCTCCTCACAAACACTTCTGGCACCCCTTCCAAAGACCCCCATGTCCGAGCCGCTGTCCTCTTCATTCAGAACCAAGCCGGCTCCCTTGTCAACCCCGAAATCACCGCCGGTGTCCGCTTCCTGGGTCAACCAATTGGCTCCAAAGCATTCGCTACCCACTACCTCACCCAGGCTTTGCTTATCCAAATTCCACCACCAACTCTTATCTCTTCTCTTTTTT